TTGACATACAAATAAATTCTTTTAAAAAGTCATTTGACTGAGACAGGAACACGGAATTACAAGCGAGGCTTATTTTACTTTCTAATGCAAACAAATGTGCTTTTGTAAATATCATTCATACCAAATTGGTAAAAATAAAACCGAGGTAAGAATATTCAGTATACATGATAGCAACTTAATTTTCATCGAGTGGATTATTTCGGTGGTACAGCGTCTGTCTCACAATCCAGAAGCATCCGGTCCGAATTCAAGCCGAGAATCAACTGTCCTCCATTGACTCCTCTTATGGTTTCAACAGCCCCTCCGACTCAAAGCCCACAACCGTTCTTCCACAGTCTAGTCCATTCTACAAAACCGACACCATAATTTAATGTCAAGCAATAACCCGATCAAATAACGGAACAATTTTCAATTTCATTTATGCAACGCTGAACTTTTGAACGTTACTGTTTACTAAGCACTGTTTACTTTGACTGTAGGATTCACTTGGCTGCCTCGTGTTAGCCGATCAGTTTAGATGCATTTGGAAGCAATGCAAAGATCATATTAGCTTCGCCGTATTCGGTGTCCTGTAAAAAACCCTCTCTATAACAATACAACGAACTCCATGAAGCAGTCGTTCTTGAAAAGTTAAGTGTCACTAAAATAATCAAAATTCAATGTCTTTCATGGAACCCACAAGGTTAATTACCTCGTCCAGAAGAGCCCATCACTACTACATATGTCAAGAAAGATAAAACCAGCTCACAAAATATTTCTTAAAGATTGATGTTAACAGTATCTTCCCATTTACGTCTAGGTCTCCCAAGTCATCTCTTCTTTTTGAGATTTCTTACTACATTTGTCACATCTTCCATCCTCCTGCTCGATTTGATACGACAAACATTTGGCGAAGAGCAGCTCTACAGATTACTAAGCTCCTCATTCTGTAATATCAGTCGGCTTTCTACTACTACCCACTCTACGTTGTTCTCAGAAACATTTAGTCCACATTCTTCGGTTACGCCTGTATCAAATTTGGCATGTTTCGAATGGTCATGCCTATGATAAGTTAAAATTGAGTATGCTTTCTTTAAACAAAAGGTATTCTGTTATTTGCTCCATTTTAGTCTGTATTTTTAATAACTCCCCAAATTCCAGGCGAAAGTAGTAACCAGTACACCATCATGTTTGGTTCAACACAGAAAAAAAACAATCTCAATGCATCTATAAACCAAACGCTGAAGCATAAAATCAGCGATAATACAAGCAGTGTGTCTAAACTAATTTCAGTGAGACGTCACACTCTTTGACAACAAAAGAAGAAAATGACATCCCGTGGTTTGGGGAGCCAAGCTCCACAGGAGACAAAGAAATCAGATTAGAATGGTCACCGTCATTTTATGGTTTCCGGATGGGCGTCGAATAATGGATACGAACCCAGATTAAGGTGACGTTGTCGCGATACTATCTGCCATGCATCACCAAACAGATAAAATAACATCTACAAGTATTTTCTGAGCCTATAAGTTATAAGTCAGAATGAGTGTTAGAAATGACCTGGTTAATATATGCTTAAAAATAAGACTCTTCTGAATTACGGCGTCCCAAATATCTCTTCTTTATTCGGCGACTGCTTTGTATGTGTATATATAATTTAAACACATTTCTGAAAGACGTTAACGAAAATCGATATTAACACCATACCACTAGATACCGCCACACATTGATATTCTTTTATTTTTCTGGGAACAATAGAGCGATAGAGCGTAATGGGACGATAAGGGCGACTCTTATAAAGGCGTACTTTTAGAGCAATATTAAACAACACAGCCGTTGTGCGAACTATTTTGTGCTGTTTTATTCTTGTTGCGGTTTCTTAACAGCACAGTCTAACTGCTTAGAATCCAACTGACAGAAGTAAGTATTCAAACCTTGTACGAAATTTCAGTGAAAGTAACGACGAAACTGTTAACTCATTTCACACAGCTAATAAAAACGGGAATAATGGGAGAAAAAATATGAACTGTAGTTTCGTGGCACAAAGTCTATTTCTCGTGAGTCAGCAGACTCTAAGAAAAGCGTAGAGAAAGATAAATTACCGTGCTGCAAAACACGAGCTCGGGGACATCCTTCCACAGTGCAGTCGCTTGCAACCTTCAAACAGATTACAGAATATCCATAACCAGCTTTTTGAATGTTCATCATTTCCTTGGTCGTACAGGATTTCTATTTCCTCAAGGTTTAGGCCTATAATGAGGGCCTGTTTTAAAACCAGTGCCTCTACTATTCTGTCCACGTGTTCAACAAAACCTCTTCCTGAAGCACAACGTTTTCTTGTAAAATGTGAACATCTGTAGGCCCTACTAATTTCTGATGATTTCTTTATATTGTCAGGACAAATACGCAGTCTCGCTGATCTCAATAATTTCATTTCAACTGTGTGTAGTGCATCCAGATCTCGATACTTCATCGCCCACACAATACTGTCGGTAGTACCAACATTTCCGCAAGACTTCCATTCAGTTTTACCCCCGTCCTTCCCTTCAAGGTCCTGCCATTTGCACATCAAAGGCCATCAAATAGGCCTAAATTACATATCCAAGACAGGCGTGCATTTAATTTCAACTGCTGGCGTACCAGTTGTTGGATGCTTCACGACATCCCAACATCTCACTATTTCAAATAATCGCAATATTAGAAACAGACCTCCATGTATTAACATTCAAAATCTACTTCATCGACCTGGTGTCTTTATGCTCTTAGACCTCAGACTATTAGTTTTTTGTAATGAATCGGAGAAGCCACTCTGTATCATTGTTGAATCATACGGACGTTACTTTCGTATCTTGAAGTACTAAAATATTATCTCCCGCTGATGCAAATAAAACTTTAACAAAATATATTTAATCTTGTTTCCTCTTCTTTTGGATATTGCGTTGTGCTCCGTCTCAAATAAATTAGTGAATTCTGAAGAGTGAACAATGTTTTCACCGTCACAAGGTAACATGGGACAACGAATTCGGCTGGACCCGATCGCGTGATACCAGTTTTGTCTGTACTGTCCTGAAACCCTGCATGCTTTGAAATGCGTGGTCTCTGGATCCACCTTTTAGGTTCATTTACGTCATACAGAGGCAGCCTAATTCCGTATTATCAGTTCGACAAATATTCCTAACAAGGTCATCACCGGTTTGCTCCTGAGGAGCAAAGCCATTTGCTGCGGTGGGCGTGGTGTTAATATGGTTTCCGTACCGTAAACAGGTGTCCTTGAACAATATGCAAGGTAATGTGTTTATTCATTGCCAACAGATAAATTTCTTGATTCAGTTGTTCAACTGGAAAATACCCGGAAATGATCGTAAATTGCTGTACCTTATTACGTAAGAATAATACTTATTGTTGTCAAAGTAAATTACATGGATTCTATGTTGGATGATAAGGAACGAACAACAGAGAACAATACAACGATAACATTATCAAAAGATGCGGCTAACAAAGTTGGAAGAAAACCTAGAACCAGTCACTGTGAAAAATTTAGCATTTTGCTACCTGCTGTCTGAATATAATTAAATCTTAAAAATCTTATATAACTGATATGTTTTAGTAGCGTTCTGTTGGTGAATATAACGACCGGGATTCGATTCCCAGGCAGGGGCAATGTTATTTCTCTTGGGTACCACGACCAATGTGCAAAGACGCGTCCTATGTTAATTCGTTATCAAATTACTTGGAATTGTCTAAAACTGTCGTTTAAAAATCGATCAGTTCCCACATAATATTTTCCGATTTGTATATAAAATTTTCCGTAGTAATGTAATAATAAATCGTTTCTGTTATTCTCTGAGCAAATGAACTGACGTAATTTCCTTGAACCAACAGTAACCTCTTCAATTCTTCTTGGTACTCCTCATACTCTCTGCGTCTTCAGTTCTCAAATGTCCATCTTGTTACTCAGTAATTCTCTGTGACGTAAAACTGAAGTCTTCATTACTTGTTTCTGGATCGAGCCTTACTTGTGACAGGCGTAAAATCCACTTAAGGTGTCACTACGGGACTGACACTAAGAATGTGAAAGTAATAGTATCTCGATCTATACGTGACCACAACCAATTCCGTTCCACGCAAAAACAAACAGATAACTTGACAGTCTAAATTATTTATGTACATTCCATAAAACCGTAAAATATCGCGAAGAATTTCTAAACTTAATTTATTTGAAAGTTAGTACGATTGCAGTGTACACACTGAAAGGTCAAGCGCCTATAATTAACACAATGCTCAGTGGCAAAAGAAGGATTATCATTCCATCGTTAAAGTCTTTCTTTTGCTCAGTAACGAGAAAATAACGAAAGAAAGAAATGTCTCAGTCAAACCGACAAATAAGACTTTCCCTCTGAATCGATTCTACATACAAATTATTTTCAGAAAGATCATGAAGAAGACTAAAATACGAGTTTGAGACACTCGTTAACTGCTTAACCCACCGACGTACGACAGAATTGGAAATGCCATAGAAAAATGAAATCGAAACAGACGAGTTTATTTCGGTGCTCAGCACGTTGCCCCAGAATATCCATTACGAATTAGAATTCTCACAGGCGGGGCAGATATCTTTTGCTTACGAACACAACTTGGGCGACACCAGCGTTTGCATTGTGCAACTGAATAAGACAATACTTGCTATGCAGAATGTCAGCCACTACCACCACACTGCAACAGCTAGTGTATTTGTTCACCGACCTGCATTGTGATGAAACACGCGTATCATAGCTAATATTACTACGTATTTATTAAGGTAATAGGATATGCACTAGCATATTTTGCAATAGGCAATACTTATAATATTTTAATAGTTATAATTATTTTATTTAATGGTTAATTAGTTTAATAGTTAAAGAGAGACTTTACCAAAACAAAGCAGGTAAGAAACACGAAGGCTATTATAAAACGGGATTGATATGCAAGCTGACAAATTGCAAAAAATCATATCACGTTCTGAACCATATACTCTTTTCCAGATCACCACAATCAGAAAGTATGTTTCGGTTTATACGGATAGCAGGCATTGCCCTGCTATTTCTCATGCCCTGGACTTGCTCTGGAGAAAATTACGGATTCTATCAACCCTCAGGTATGTACGAACACCATACTTATGGCGTCTGTTGCAAATATAGGGTGAAGTGCTGGTTGCCTGACCAGCCACAGCCAGGGATGGCACGAGATGCTGCCAAGAGCGAGATGGAAGAACAGCCGAGGTGTGTTCAGTTGATTCAGGTTACCTCCATTCCAAGGAACACATTTTGCGGTCTGGTAATATTAAAACTCTCTGTTTAGTTGTCAGTCTCAATTCCTTCCAGTTCTAAGAACAAATCATCTGTACAGCCGCGTATTCCTTTTACGGGAAATCAGTTGAAGATTTCTGTCTTCTGGGCGTCATCAGGGCGATTAATCGCCCTGATGACTACACAGCGCAACAACCCAGAAGATAGAAATCTTCAAATATAGGATACTTTATGTATTCGAATTTTCTGAACAATTTCATGCCAGAATACACACAAATACCCCAAAGACATATTCTGTGCTTCTTTGTTTATTGAAAAGGCCAGGAAATGTTCTCCACCATGTCCCGACCGCTTTTAAGGCCCTTCCATATTCACAGATTATGGGTGCCAGGGGCTCCTTCAATGAGGGTAAAGCGACCACACACAATTGTGCCGAGATTAGGAATGCATGTAACTACGCATCAATTCCCATACATTTTTCACCGAGTGATGTTTCATAAAGTAGAGTGATAATATTAGTTTTGTTAGTGACAAATATTGTGTGTTTATAAACCGCAATTACGTGCACAATAAACATTATCTTTACATCACAACTCAACAGGATACAGCTCATCGCCTCTCCAACTCTCCAACAGCCAGTCATATTTCGGATCGGATTTCAGCAGTTTCTTTGGCGGTCATGGAAGTAGCAGCGCCAGTGCTTCTTCTCAGTTTCCCCACTTCTCTGCAAGCGGTTTCTTCGGGTAAGTCCCTTGTGCCCATTACGGAGCCATTTTATGGTATTTTGATGACACATAATTTCGATTTTAGATAAATAGGCGGTGTAAGCTAAGTCCAAATCCGGGTAATGTGGTTACTCATATATTTTGGGTTGTAACGGTTGTCGACATTTACTCGTCTCACGGTAATGCAGTTTGCAGCTTCTGTCACATGATAAACTAATTCGGGTTTGAATTATATTTATACAAACTCATCTATCTGTGTACGTTTCTCATCACACTGATACGTACTGCATGTACCTCCCATGATTTGTTATTACATGGCGAAGAGTACAATTTATGAAGCTCGTTCTTAACCAGTTTTCTCCTGTAACTATTTTATGATTTTCATGCGACTGAGACAAATTTTACAGTGATAGTGAGAACAAAGTACATTGCCAAACTTCTCTTTAATGTCCGTCCTTTCAGGGGTCTCGGGTTCGGTGTCTGTGATCCACAGATCGCGCCTTGCACGAAGAGCAAGTACAGGACATACGACGGTTCCTGCAACAATCTGGAAAATCCTACACTGGGCGTCGCCAATACCCGCTACGGACGTCTGCTGCCACAGAAGTATTCTGATGGTACGTCATACGGCACGGGTCTCAAGTGTTTTGTGCTTAGAACCATTTATGGAAAATAAAATTTAAAAAACCTGGTAACCCACGCAAAAGAAACTTGGAAAATACACAGCCCATATTTGTATTGCTGACAAAAAATAAAGCACACACACAGTACAGCGTGGTTATATTAATTTTAAACGAGGAGCGTATGTGAACTAATTCAGATTGTAAGAAGGTTCATTAGTTTAATTACTGCTGTAA